GTTTTATATGGTCTGAAGTAAGAATTATGTCGTCTGCAAACCTCAAAGTTGTTCAGAAACTCCCCATTTATGTTGACTCTAATATTTTCCTTATTATTGTTTCTCATAACTCTATAACAAATCAGTGAATAGTTGAGGGAGTTTGGCGTTTAGTTGTCCCATCAGTATAGTATAGTTGGTGGGTACCTCTAGTATCGTATTGTAAACATCATCTTAAAACGATTCAATTTCTTCTCTGTGGGTACTTTTAGGTGCCTATACCTGGTTAATCTTCATTCAAATTTGTTTATTTTCTTTGTAGATAAGATATAAACCTCATGTGTGTTTTTTATTTATCATAATTCCGAAGCCGCCATTAGAAGACGTATTTTTTCCGTTTTCCTTTATAATGGTAGCCTGGTCGACAACGCTGGTATGTGCTGGTTGGTAGACGGTTGTTAGGATGGGTTAGGTGTTTTCGGCAAGTATAATAGGTTGGGACATCCATTTTTTTTGTGTAACCCTCTTCGGACAAAAATCTATTGAGCAAATGATTTGGCAGTCATTTTAATGATTGTTTTGTAGTATTAGTTTTTATTGTGATTAAAGAAAATATTAGGTACTTATAAACAAAAAAATATTACTGGTAAGATTTAAATCCTGTTTGCAAGAGCAATTTATGCTGCTGAAACACCATTGGCAATTTTGGAGAATAAATATTGGCAGTTATTGTTTCAAACAATAAGGCCAACTTTTAACATACTTTCACGATATTCTTATAAAAAATATGCCTTAAAAGTTTTAGCAGTGTGTAAGACTGTGTATAATATATTGAGCAAGCGAGTAGGAAAATTATTTTTAAATGCAGATACATTCTGGTACCAGTGTTAAAGCTGTTCATTTAATTAACCCCATTGTTGAATATATAACCAAACTAAAACTAAAGATAAGCCAACACTAAGTCAAGTAGTAGAATATTGTGTATAGCGTGGAAAAACATTTTTAAACGGAGTTACCTTTTTACAAACAAAGAACATCAAAGTTTCCTGGAATTTTTAGGAAAAGCAAAGCGTACTGCTATACACCCAATACACTTGACATCTAATAATACATTAGATGCACGTTTTAATCGTGTTATTTGACCAATGAGGAGCAAATTCGTGGTACTGAGTTTATTGATAAAAAGGGTAACTAAAGGGAAAATATAGCTAGCCCATACGTATTATAGATGATTCAGAAAACTGAATAGCAAAATTTGCGTATTACAGATCTAATGCATTTTTTTGCAAAACCATACATTTTTAGGTCCATTAACACGTTAAGAGCCGAGATTTAGTGGAAAGGAACATGTTCTGCAACAAAACTGTAAATTAGCTGTTCAAATTTTGGGAGTGCGTGCGATTAGCGCGACTGCAGAAACAAGTTTTTAGTATAATAGGTATGGTTTCTTAGGGGTCGGCCACAACGGCGCACCGCACATAGCATAGTACATTGCACAGCACCATATCCAGCACCTAGCTTAGCCTTTGCTTTGCACAATAGTGGCCATATTGACGCACTGTACACCGCACATTTATTCTGTTTCTTTAATCATGTCGTCATCCTTTTCATCGGACGAAGAAAGCATTGCATCCTCTAAATGAGAAGCGAATTTACTATGGCGAATTTCACCACCTTTATAAAGACCTTAGAAAATATTCTCAACGCTTTTTTGAATACATGAGAACGAGTTATAACGACAACTAAGTTTGATTATATTTTATATTATATTTTCAGTGGTGGCTTTAGCATTTTTTGTCCCAAATTGGTTCACACATAAACACACAACCAATTAATTTGTATTATCCCTAAAATAATCACTGTGCGATGTGCGAAGATCAGAAAATATTAAGCTTAAATTACGTAGGCGAGGCGTTGGTACCAAGCGATGTGCGAAGGAAGGAGCGGTGCGTCGTTATGGCCACGCGCATTTACAGCTATGCTTGTATTTACTTTGCTTCAGCGAATCTTTGGTCAAGGCTAGATGCGGTGCTATATTATATAATTTGCTCCTCATTAGTTAAATAATACCGTAAATAAATACCGTTTTAAATAATAATTAAAACGTGGATCTAATATATTAGCTGCCAAAATATTGGTACTTCCTTACCAATGGGTAGGTCTCAGAAAGTTCTCATTATCGAGATTATATTTGATAATATTCTCAATTTTTTTGTTCTTCAGAATTTTCCATCAAGAATGAAGAATTGATTCTTCCAATTTATGAGCATATTGACTTGCTTGCATTGTAAAGTGTACAACCCAGTGAAAGTTAGTGATATGTGTTAAAATCTTAATAGACTCATGGTCAAAAAATCCGGACACTTGCATTTTGTATGTTTTTTAAATTTTTTTCAGAGTATGGTGGTTTTAATAGGCAGGTAGTAAACACTAATAATAAAAAACGGTCATTCATATCAATAAAAACGGTTATTTTATGTTTTTAAATGATCGTGTCACAATAGAAAGAAAATTTTGACATTCGGCAAAAAATGATACTTTATCTTTAAAAGCTATTTTGCATTTTTTTTATTGCTTTTAGGATAAGTTTCACATTTATTCTGATAAATTCAGATCACTGTTCATTAGTATTTTCAAATCGTATTAGTAGCACTACCAAAAATAATGCAAAAGTTGTGGCATGGAATGGAGATGCTCACAGTGTACGAAATATTGCAAATCATTTGAATATTGCCAAAAGTACCGTCCATTATGCTCTTAAGAAAGTATCTTCAGACTGGAGAGTACACTAGAAGACCAGGATCAGAAAAAGGTACAGAGATCATCGTGAAGAACGTTTATTTAAAGATTTTCTCTTATCGAAATCTTGTTCTCGCTAGTCCTTTGTCAGAAGCTCGAGGAACTCATACTTTTATACGAATTTTAAGAAGAGTCAGTCCGAACAACATGATCTCAGAGACTGGACTGTTCAACAATGTAGTGTTGTAATGTTTTCTGACGAGTCCCATTTTTGCTTACGATCTCGAGATGGACGCGACCGTGTATAGAAGAGACCCGGAGAACGATTTGCACTTTGCTGTATTTCACCCAGAACGCCGTTTGCTGGCGGAGGTGTTATGCTTATGGGCGGGTATTTCTTTCAACAGATGCACTGAATTCATTGTCATCCAACATGGAACTCTAACTGCAGACATATACATACGGCAGTATCTGCAGGACAATGTTGTCCCCTACGCCCCTTTCGTTGGGGATAATTTCTTATTTATACAGGCTAATGAGCGCCCACAAACTGTGTGAATTACTGTCATGGATTACCTAAATACTATCGGAATGCCCGTTTTGGATTGGCCCGCTTGTAGTCCTAACATGAATCATTAGAACATTTATAAGACATTATAAGGAAAAAGTTAAAAAAAGGCAACCATTGCCAGAAACCGTTTAAGAGCAGAAAATAGCGTTGAATAAAGAATTGCAATTGAATCATCATTAACAATGTAAGATATGCCGATGACACCGTAGTATTAGCAGAAACAGAAGACCAACTAAAAATATTGATGAACATACTATCAGAAGAAAGTCACAGACTAGGTTTGGATATTAATCTTTCCAAAACCAAAATCATGGTATTCCACAAGAACCCCCATGAACAAATTACACCCAACATACAAATCAATGGTATCACCCTTCAGAGCTCCCAAAGATTCATATACCTGGGCAGAGAGCTAAACAGTCAGCTAGACCACTCAAAAGAAATTAGAAGACGTATTGAAATAGCAAGATCTGGCTTCATGAACATGCGTAAAATGCTCTGTAACCCCAAGCTATCAATCACAATAAGGTTAAGAACACTAAAGTGTTATGTGTGGTCTCTACTACTATACGGCTGTGAGACCTGGACATTAAAACAGTATGACGTCAACAAACTGATTTCATTCGAAATGTGGATGTACCGCCGAATGCTAAGAATAAGCTGGACCAGCAAAACTACAAATGAAGAGGTACTGGAAATAATGAACACACGACCTCATCTGGTTAATACAAACAAAATTAGAAAGACGTCATATCTAGGACACATAATGCGCCATAAGGAATTTGAGCAGCTCCAGGTAATATTAGAAGGCAAAATCGAGGGTAAAAGAGGTATAGGAAGAAAGAAGAAATCCTGGCTCCGAAACATCAGAGATTGGACTCACACAACAGGAAATGACTTAATCCATCAAGCCCAGAACAGAGAGAAATTTGCCATATTGATCGCCAACCTCAATAGAGAAGGCACTTAGGAGGAGGAGGAAGAAAGAATTGCAACATATACCGCAAGAAAAGATTCAGCAACTTATTGAAAGTATGTCTAGGCATATTGAAATCCTCCGCAGATGTAGGGGAGTTAATACCCGAACCTAAACCCACTGTGAGCAATTAAAATTTTGTTTTTTCATTTGTTTCATTTTTCATGGAACAATGTTAATTTTTTTACATATTACTTTCTTTTGAGTTACTTATTTTTCCTAATATTACTTTTTTTAGTGTTTTAAATAAACGAATTGTATTATTAATGTTTACTTCCTTCACATTTAAACCACTTACAGAATTAAAAAAAAAACATACAAAATTCAAGTGTCCTGATTTTTTTGACCAGGAGTATATATTATGTTATTTGATTATAGTTTTCCTATTCTGCGAATTATTCAAATGCAACTTTAACTAAATAAATTTTTTTCTTTTGTCAGGAACCATAAACAATTACACAAACAGTTAAGCTGCAACAAACAATTATTAACTTCTTCGAAAGCATTTATTAAAACTATGGGAAAGCAAACAGGTATTTCCATTTCAAAACTAATTCAACTATAAAAGATAGTCTAAGAATCTTATGTATATAGAAGATTATCAACAAAAACTGAAATGTTGCGATGTTTCTTATTGTTCAAACCATCGCTGTTCCACCTTGGATTGGTTTTGATAAGCCTGGTAGTTGTATGTCATAAAGCAGTAACTTATTTAGTTTTATATCCTCTGTTTAGATTGCTAATAGGAACCCTATATCCTGCTTATGCTTCATATAAGGCTGTGAGGACGAAGAACGTCAGAGAATACGTAAGTTCAATCATTATTTAAAATTATTTAGGAAAATTTAGGTTTTGATTTATAAAATTGATATTAATTTGTTAGATTAAAAAATACCTTAATATGTATACATAAGTAAAGTAAAATGGGAAAATTTAAAAATCGAAATTTCTCTCAACTTCTAACATCAATGCCGTTACAACTCTTCGTAAGTTTGTCGGTCCTGTGTCACTATTTCCCATTACCTCACTCCCATTTTCTCCAGATCCTCTCTGATTGCATCTTTTTCACCTTTTCCTAGGTCGTCCTACAGATCTTCTTCCATCTACTCTTTCCCAAAACACATTGTTTATAAGACGATTGTCACTATTGTGTATCACATGTTCTGCCCATCTTAGTTATTGGTATTTTATAACTCACCAGATTTTCCTCTTCGTAACTCATTTTTGTGTCTGCGCCTCCATTCGTTTTTCACGCAATCTGTGCAAGGGCCATATACTACTAGATTATGTGTACCCACACCAATTTATTTACTTTTTTTGTTTTGTATATTAGACTTTTGCACCTCGTGAGAGAAGTTTTGACCTCATTAAATATTGCATTGCAAAGAAACGTCTATTTCCCGCTAGTATCGTGTTTCAACTTTTCGTTCTACTTTGTTGTCATTGGTGATTGCTTGATCAAACTAACTCACTTTTTAGTCGCTTTTTATTGCAACTTAAAAATAGGACCATGTTTGGGACTAATCTAGGTCTCTAGAGGAATAATCCAGGCATCTAGCAAGTTTTTTAGTTAATATCAATTTTTTCGAATTTTCTAAATATTGAAATGTGCGTTTCAGTTTCATTATAATGTTTCTGTCGCACAACACATCATTTCATTCATCCCATCCTAATTTTAGTTTTAAGACAAGTTCTAAATAACTTTCCACATAGCCAGCACCACCCGATAATTCTTGAAGTAGGTTACAAAATCCCAATTATTCACTCCAAGACCAGACCAAGATGAAAGTTCAAAAAGACTAACTGGGAAAAGTTCACGGATGAACTGATTCCTGTAATTTGTTCGATTCATCTTGTTGGGAGTCTTCCTCGTGATCTTTAGCCTTCTTCCTTTCCTTGGATAATAAGTATTTCCATGCTTTCTGTCTGCTCTCATAACATGTCCAAAGGATTTTAATTGTTGGAGATTGGGACTTTGCTGGAGAGCCGTTTGCTGACCTTGGGTTCATTTAAAATTCAGTTATTTGTCGGTAATCGGTCCACGATATTCGTAACATTCTTCTCCAACAGAACATTTCAGTGGCGTCTGTCTTCTTCTTTCCGTTTGTCGTAGGGTCCAAAGTTTACATATAGTAGGTGTTCGTATAGTTCAGTTATAAGCGAAATTAAGTGTCATGGGACGCCTACTTCTTTAGTATCTGTCATTAGTGTTGGCATTTGACCTGTTAAACACTTTACGATAATCTATAAATAAATGTATAGTGGGATATTGAATTCTAAATTTTTCTATTATTTGTCTTATGTTCAGAAGGTAATCTCTAGTATCTCTACCTTTGGTAAATCCAGTTTGCTCTTGGGGTATTTCTCTTTGTAGGAAACTTTTCAGTCATTACGCCATTATAGCAACTGTCAAAAAACATGTACCATGTGGGTATAGGAAGAAATACATACTGGAGTGGAATTGCAACCCAGAGCAACACTGCCAAGAATTTCAAGGGAGTGGTGATACTGAAATTGCGGATGAACTTCTTAATACGTTAGACGTTGAACGCCGCAAGAAATGGGAAGAAACGAGGAGACGTACAGACTCCAAAAGATCAAGTCGGAAAGCTTTTAGTCTCCTAAAGAAATTAGTCAACTACAAACTCAAACTCGTGAACAGCAGAATTACAGCTGACCAAATATACTTCACGGGTCTTAAGCTCTCCAAAGCCCCAAAAGTTAAAGAACACCACACTGCAATTAAAAAAGAACTTAGAAATATTCACTTATCAATCGGAGCCCAACCTGAATACTCCAAAGCTTTTATTGAACGATACCAAATCTGGAAAAGCACAAGGATTGTGCTAGAAACGAAAGAATGTGGCAAGCAAATTCTACTCTAATATCCTCACAACGGGATGTGTGCCAGTGCGTTTCAAAAAAGCAAAAATAATTACAGTGCTCAAAAAATGTGGTGGGAAGCTATCACCTGATTGCGCTATTGAGGTCATGTTACAAACTGCTTGAGATGGTACTGATGAACAGACTCAACACAGTAATTCTGGAGAGCTTACTAATAGAACAAGCTGGGTTCCATCGCTATCGCAGCTGCGCAGATCAAGTTTTCAGTCTTACCACATATGTAGAAGCTAGTTTTCAACGATGTTCAAAAACTGTGGTAGCTTACATTGATCTAACTGCTGCTTACGACACCGTATGGAGGAAGGGACTTATCTTTAAATTTCTCAATAACCATGTAACCGAGCTGCTACCTACTAAGAATATGCTGTTCGATAGGTCTTTTCAAATAATAACTTTATAATAATAAATAGTGTAAGGGGTAGGAGAAGGGTAAGGAAATCTCAAAATGGGCTTCCTCAAGGATTGGTGCTTGCCCCCAATCCACTTTAATATATATATATATATATATATATATGTCAGATATATATATATATATATATATATATCTGACATCCCTCCAACGATGTCAAAGAAATATGATATGATACTGATGACTTAGCACTAGCCGCTCGCCATAACAAAGATTTGATAGTTCTCGGTAAATACTTCAATTCTCGGAGGCTTATTCCAAATACGAATAAAATGGAGGCTGCCTTCTTTCATCTCAATAACAAGCAAGCAAATAACGAGCCTGAAGTATATTTTAATAACAACCTTCTACATTTTAACCCATACCCGAAATATCTGGGCATCACAATGGATATAACGCTGTCATTCAAAAAAATATCTAAAAAGGCATAGCCGCCAAATAAACAATCGAAGTAACATCAACCACAAATTATACGGAACATTCTGGGAAGAAAATGTCACCACTCTCAGCAGATCAGGGTCTACTCAGTTGCCGAATACTGCGCACCAGCGGAGCTGAACAGCAGCCATGTAAAAAAGGTCGACACCAAAGTCAATCGAACTATGAGGATTATCAGCGGATGTATTAAGAGTACTCATATTCCTCCATATTAAACCTCCAAATATCCGTAGAAAAGCATTTTTTTTCTACGGCATACAGATTCTGGGTAAATCGATTTTTCCGTTTTCTTCCCCTTCCAGGCGGGTTTTAGGGGGAAGCGCGGGAGTAGGAACGGTTAACTTTTTTGCATCTTTTTTGGGATCCCAAAATTAACGTTCTCAGCAAAATTCAGCTTGTTCGTTTGATTTTTAGAGGTTCAGTGGCATTTTCGTCTCTGAAGACTGGAGTAAAAAAATATTCAATGAACACACACCACAGGAAAATATATTCAGGAACATATTAGCTTGAATTTATTTGTGTAGCATTCTTTTTAAATAAGTTATAGTTCACCAAAACGTGTTCAACGAATTTTGTGGAGCACAGTAGCTTTCGTGTGGAGGTATATATTATATTATTATATAGCAATCATTTGTAAATCAAAACCATCCCACAAACATTACCAATTTGTCAAAAAAATATTTGAGAGAAAGCTGTAAAAGATGTCATGCGATTTTTTGTTCTGTTAATATATTATCAAGGCCGGTGGTTTCACAATACATTTTCACTTTTCGTTTTAAAATAGTAACGACACATGTTTTCTGCATTGTCCTGTTTGAGCATTATGTTAATGATTATTTGCTTCCGTCGTTATATTTAAATAGTGACTGCAACATTTTTATTCTCGTATGTACGCTTTATAAAACACAAATACAAATTACTGCAAAAGTAACACCTACTTAGAGATAAATATAGTAATGAATTAGTGACTGAAGTTTTTGATGTTGAACGAAACAGTCCATATATGGATACTTGAAATGAAATTTTACAGATTACCAAGAGCTGGGTTTATTTTTTACTTTTATTTTAACTGTTACTTTTAGTTGGTCTAAATATAAACGGTGGTACCATAAATGGTGCCAAGATTTTTTTTATCTGAATGTATAGAAATAAAGAAATATGTAAAGATCAAGATAAATAATTTATTCACCTGCCTCTGTATAAGATTTATTTGAAATCATTCTGTAACTGTGGCGTATTAATTGATATATGAAATATCACTAGTTTATTTATATATATTTTTTTAATTATTCAATAAAGCTTCAAGTTTCTTATATATTTCCTTTTATACAACCCATTGAGTTTATTGCAATTTTCAATTTTGTCAATTTTGTTTCAATAAATACAAAAAAGAGGGGGAAACAAGCCTTTTCTTATTCAATGTTTTTCATATACTTAGATTTCGCTTAGGACCTTCCTAGTTCGACTGAAAAATCTTCATGATATAATAAAACAGTACAACAAATTTCATTAAAATCGATTTAATAGATTTCGTGTAATAATTTTGCAATCTAATTAAAAAAAAACTGAATATAGAAGTTTGCCAATTTTTTTACTTATAAAAACACACTTAACATAAATGTAATGTACTTTATGGAATTGAAATCAGATTATGTGGACAGTCTAGGAATATTTTAAAATTGTAAACTATTTTTTGGCTTATAAACAAATAGAATATCTCGCTGTACTCAGATGCAACAAAAACGCAACGGAGCAAATTTTGATCAAATTTAAAGTATTTAAATTTTTTAATTTTTAGCCCTATTTTGATGATTTTTTTAGCACACTATGTATATACATGTGATATAGTGATATAGTCAGTTTTTTGATAACATTGTATATTTGACTTGTACGGGGTTAATTAAAACGTGGTTTTATTATCCTAACTTTCAAACCACCTTGGAATAATTCCGTTTGTGAATATTCGTAAAACCTTATTTTTCGGTTGCAACCATATCTCCTAAGCATTGTGTTTTTTGTTTCATGTCAAAATATACCTGGTTCAGTTTTTAGATCCAAATGAATTTGGCACCCACAATTTAGGACTTTTTTAATTATGATTATTTTGGAGTTATTTTGTAATACGACGAGGTGGCTTTGGTGACTGTTATCATTATGTCATATTGACACTTACATTTTATTTACCTATGACAGATCATGGTTATTAGTATTAAAGATTGTGCGAAAGCCGTTGCTTTAGTTGAAGATGGGCGAAATTATGAATATTTGACTAGAGTACTACACACTCATCGCTCTACTATCCAAACTGTAGTGGAAGGTCTTATACAAACTGGAACAAAGAACGTAAAGCGGGAAGTGGCAGGAAGCCCAAAACTACCGCTTTAGATGATCGTTTTGTACGAGTCAACGCTTTGCGGAATTATCATTTAACAGCGGTGCAAACAAGAAATCAGCTTCAAGAGGTTCGAGGTAATAATATAAGTGTATTTACAGTTCGTCGAAGATTACATGAATGTGGTTTGAAAAGTTGCAGACCAGCAACTGGACCCAAATTACTTCCAAGGCATTGAGTGGCTAGACCAAAATTTTACAGGGATCATTTACATTGGAATTTAGGACAATGAAGTAATATTTTTTTATGAGTGAGTCTAGTTACTGTCTTCACTCTTCACTCATACGATGGGAGAGAACGATGGCGTCGAACTGGAGAGAAATTTGCGGAGTGCGCTTTCAGTCCCGCGTTAGCCAAGGAGGGGGTTCGATGATGGTATGGCAAGGAATATTCCGAAAGGCGCACACTGAATTGATATTTATTGTGGGTTCGTTGACTGCACACCGGTATATTGAGGAAATTTTAGCGAATCACCTTTTTTCAATATATCGGCGATGATTTTCTATTAATGCAAGATAATGCGCGACCCCACTCTGCAATGTGTGTCACGCAATATTTAGAGGAAGTTGGTATTAATAAAATGAACTGGCCAGCGTGTTCGCCAGATCTGAACCCAATAGAGGACGTTTGGGATATGCTTGGTAGAAATATAAGAGGTCGCGAAGTCGAACTTCGCTTGGCTCTAGAAGAGGAGTGGCAAAACATCATAGACAGCATGAGCCGTCGTGTACAGGCGTTATAGAGGCTAGGGGAGGCAATACAAAGTATTAGTTATTTTTAGTAGTTTTTCTTTGTTATTTGCATACTTAGGTTAAGTTACACTTAAGTTGTTTTTTTTATGTTTTGTTATTGTTTCATTGTTCAGTAAAACCAAGATCATGTCGTTGCTTTTAATCATTATTTACATACAGTACTTCTGGGATGTTGATATGACATTCCTTTGATATCAGTCGCCAAAGCCCCATCGTCCTATTAAAAATTAATACTAAAGATAATGGCAATAATAGGAAAAGTCGTAAATTGTGGATGGCAAAGTCATTTCGCTCCTAAAAATGACCCAATCGATATTTTCACATGAAACAAAAAAAATAATACTTAGAAGACACGGTTGCAACTGAAAAACAAGGTTTTACGAAAATCCCCCAACGGAATTATTCTACTTCTTCTTCTTCGTCTAGCCATTCACGTCCACATCTGAACATAAGACTCTTCAAGTCTTCCTTTCCATTGTTTTTTATTGTACGGTACTTGTAGCCAATTTTTCCCGGCAGTCCTTTTCAGATCATCTGTCCATTTCATAGGAGGTCTGCCTCTGGGTCTTTTGTGTTGGTATGGTCTCCTTGATCTGTGCCATTTGTTTAGATCGCTCCTAGCTACATGTCCAGCGTATTCCCATTTCAACTTTAATGTTTTTTGCACCACATCGGTGACTTTGGTTTTCTGTCTTATCCATGTGTTTGTTTTCTTGTCCTTAAGTGATATACCAAGCATTGCTCTTTCCAATGAGCAAAGAATAGACAAAGAAGGTAGAGGAACACGAAGTAGACCAACTGGTCAACTAAGGCGTACCACAGAGCTTCAAGATAGGCGCTTTAGATTACTGGCTCTGCGAGACCGTATTAGTGCGACCACCTACTACGCGTCAAATTGCTGATCAATGGTTTGGAGCAGTAGGTAAACCTGTTAGTATGAGTACACTATACCGTCGCATTCGAATCTTTGGACTGGTTTCATTCCGCACAAATACTAGTGCTTCCTTGACTGCGGACTACTGTCATCAACGTTTGAATGGATGTAGAAAACGGCAGAATTGGGTGACAGAGTGGCGTAATGTAGCATTCAGCGATGAATAACGATTCTATTTAGGAATACATGATGGTCGTAGAAGGGTGAGACGCCGCCGTGGAGAGCGACGAGATATCGGGTTTGCTGTTGAGAGGCATGTACACAGGACAGTTGGAGTAATGGTTTGGGGGGCTATTACCTATGGTAGCCGATCACCACTTGTGTTTATTCGAGGCAATATGACAGCTGCGCGTTATGTTGATGACATCTTATAAACCATTTTACTGCCTTATCTCGACGGTCGTCGAGACGTCCTTTTTCAGCACGGCAACGCGCGCCCCAATATTGTTTGTCAAACTATGGACTTTCTCCAAGAAGCTGGCGTTAATGTGTTGCCGTGGCCGGTCCGTGCTCCGGATTTAAATCCTATCGAACATGAGATATGATGGGAAAGAGACTCTCCACTTTGCACCATCCTCCACAGACTCTGGCACAGTTAATACATGAAGTTCAAGCTACTTCGAACGAGATGCCACAAGCAGACATTGATCATCTTTTGTCAATGCCTAGACGTATACAGGAGTATATTCAGCTACGGGGTCGCCAAACACATTAATTTTTTTTTCTTGACAACGTTATCGTTTCATTCTTCATGTAAATCTACCATGTTGCCAAAAAATTTAGTTCAAAAAATTATTCCTTTTGTTAATTATTGTTTTTTTTTAATAATAAAATATTTTACATGGATTTGAATCTCTGTTTATATATTTTTAGGTAAAATGGATGATGTACTGGATAGTTTTTGCTCTTTTTACTTGCGTAGAAACATTTACAGACGTCTTTTTCAGTTGGTGAGTAAAAGATCAAAAGATACATTTATTATTCTCGTTATTCTTATTGCATTATTTTTAAATCACATGTATTTTACTTTTGTGCCATTTATGGCACAAACGAAATGCGGCAAAGGGTTAAGGGCCACTCCGATAAAAATGTTTATTTGTCTTATCTTTTTTAAGTCTTTACCTTAACTAGGATAAGTGCAAATGGATACTATATCAAATGAAAATAATCTGTTTTAGGTTTCCATTTTATTATGAAGTAAAAATTATTCTAGTCATCTGGCTTTTGTCTCCAGCTACAAAAGGATCCAGTATTTTATATAGGAAATTTGTACATCCTACACTCAGTTCTAGAGAACAGGTAAGACATTTGATGTTTGATGTTGTTTTTTATCTTGACAAAGAACTAATGACTTAACGACTTACTATTGCAGAAACTAGCATTAAAAGACTGTAGTATTTAATCAGGCATAATTTTGTAACCATTAACTGATATTACCATAACCATTAACAGGACTAAACAAAGCGTAAAAGGCTATCGATCACAAAATATGTTGAATAGTATTCGTACCAACCCAAAAAAAAGGATGATGAAAAAGACATGGGAGTACGATGTGTCCAAAAAATGATGTTAAAATAACAGGAGACTTTAATGTAAAAGTCGGAAGAGGGTATATTTTTTCTCGCACCGTCGGTAAAGAGAGCTTACACGCAATCTCAAATGACAACGGATTGAGACTCATAAACTATGCTATGATTAAGAATATGGTAATTTCTTGGTGGAACACGATTTCCCCACAAAGACATACTTAAGGGATCTTGGAAATCTGGTAATAAAACGAGTAGCCAAGTAGTTCATATATACAAACCTTTAGATGTTAGGTCTTTTCGAGGAGCAAACATAGATAGTGATCACTATTTGATTAAGGAAACTTTTAAAGAAAGAACGTCTAATCAAAAAAAGGAGATCAGAAAAAGCAAAAAAATATATTCACAAACTAAAAGATCCGAATGTAGCAAATATATATATTGAAATGATTTCAATATGTTAAAATATATACAACTTTAATGGATTTTTATATGAGTTTGTTGTTTATGAATTTCATGAAGCCATCACAATGTGGGTTCGACTCTGAAATAAAAGAGAGAAAAAGATTAGTAAATTGTTAAATAAATTAATTTTGACTTACCTGGTATAGTGTTAATAATTTCTGAATAGTATAGTTGCCTAGTGTATAGGTGAATCGTCTAAACCTTAAAAAGAACAAAAAAAGAAGAATTTTAAAAAAATATTTAAACATAGAAATTTTAATAAACGTCAGAAAATAAACTGCTTGACAGTTTATTTGACAGTCTGTGGGAGCTAAATTAATAGGGGTTTTGTTAAATAAGAAATTACAATGATGTGGAGATGAAAAGAATAAATTAGTATTGTAATAGAATAAGTTTTATATCTAAACATTTTTTTTTGTAAATTCCCAAATTATATGTGATTAAAGTGATTATGAGAAAGTAATGTGGCTTGACAAATATGTCAAACAGGACAGTTTTATGGTTTAAAATATTTAAATAGAAGACAGAAAAAAAAGAACGTTGGTTGCTGTTAGCAACGGATAATAAGAGGAATTGGTTTTTGGAGAGGACGCCGACGAGGTTTTTTTGGACGAAGGAGAGCCCTGAAACTGTGGAATAGGTCGGGAGTGTTTTTTAACTCGTCTAATTAGAATTTAGTTTTTCCACAGTTTCACAGCAGAGATATCCAGAAATTTGTTCCAGAGAGTAAGAGAAACAATTTCACTTATAAATTATATTGGAGTATAGAAATGTCATTTAAATTGAGAAAATTAAAATTCATGAATTAACATAATTGCGATAGGCCTTAAAAATTGAAATTATTAATGATCATTAAATTAAAAATAGAATAGTACGTACCTTAACTTCCGAAGAGAGGATTGATATTCCAGTTTCACCGATTATTTTTGAGTAGTTAGTTTCCTTTAAAGAAATCAGAACTGTTTTAAAGTGAGGTTGGACAATAATTTTGGGGATCATTTGAAATTTTGATTATATTTGAATAGTCAGCGGAATAAAGTGTTCATTTTCTTTTTCTTTATAGTTCATTTAAACACTTTATAAAGTTGCAATATTTATTTAGTTTTTAGGTACTTGTAGAGAGTCTCCACATTTTGTAATACATTTTTATTGTCACGTCACTAAACCACGTTAAGACTTAAACGATTCCTATTTTTGTAAATTTTTAAAGGCAACCGAAGTTGCAGACGAATTTTATTGTTTATATTAAATTTGTTCAATATTAATAAATAACGTGCTTCATTTGGGTTAATTTATCAAAGGTCTAAAGTAAATTTTGGTTTAATTTTTTTTTGAACTCTACCAGGAGACTACAGAGTCGACGTCACACAGTGACAGATTGCTTAGAACGAACACATAATTGAGCTAGCCGAGGTATATTAAATTAAACAACGAACCACATATTATAAAAATTACGTTTATTATAAATAAAAAATAAAATTAATAAAATACAACTTTATCAATATATATATATATATATATATATATATATATATATATATATATATATATATATATATATATATATATATAGAGCAAATAGAAGATACAGTAAAGACAGAAAACGTAGAAGGAGAAGAAGCATTCTCAGCTGATCCCATTTTCAGCCGGTATTGATTAAGTTCCTCGTTTATATTCGTTTGAGTTTGGTTTGTTGTATATATGTTTATTGATCTGGAAACAAATGTTAAAAAGACAAAATGGATGTCATAATTATCCTTATGGTAGAATAGTAAATGAGCAGTGAAGAAGTGAATGGTTCTTATGTTCAACTGAAGACAGATGTTACTGAAAATTAGTTTAGCGGCTATTAAGAGCTTCAAGAGCTAAGAGGTGATATATCGCTGGAGTTAGATTACACGCAGCTACCTTCAAGTTACAGTGACGTCGATTGCTTCACTTATTGATAAGTCTTTCAGTAGTGTGGTATTTAGATAAAGTATCTAAAGTTTGAAGGGGTCATTTTGGCACGAAGTGTTACGATAAATGAGCATGAGTCGTATATTAAAAAAATACTTTTTAAAAATAGATGCATCAATAGTCATGAAAACAAAAACAGACAGCAAAATAGAATGTAGCAGGCTCTGGTTATCAATATTGAACGAAGAATTTAGCAATAATAATATACCAACACTAACAAGTTCATAGCACGTCAAGGACACATTACCCATTATGAACTACAACAGACACAGAAAGATCATAATTAGGTATCAATCCGAGGGTAAAACAATATCTCTCAAAATTTAGCTTCAAAACATGGCTAATGCCTAAAGATAAGGTTAATTAAGTAAACTATCAAATTGGTATTACCACATACCGCCAAACATCAAGATTTACAGGTTAAGATCATTCATAATGTTATTTAAAAAACAATTTTAAACATTTTTTTCCAGAACGTTTGAAGAACCCTTTTTATATATCTGGATGGTTTACACACATCTAATCACTACATGACGCTTTAAAATTTCATGACATCAATGATTTACTCTTCTAATAATGTTCTTTAATTTTAGGAAATTGATGAATACATTAGTAAAGCTAAAGAACAAAGTTACAAGCAAGTTTTAGATATTGGATCGAAAGGAGTTTCCGCTCTTATGCAAACCGCCATTAAGGTAAGTTCTATGTCAGCATGCATGCTCGATAACAGTGTTTATGCTCTTTTGCTTTTCTATTCTTTTTTTTTTTCGATTGGAACCAAAATTAGATTTTTTTTGTAGTTTTGATACAATGCTTTGAATAAAAGGACGTTGTTGAGTTTAGCACTATATTTAGCAACTATTTCTGTAAAGTAGTGTATAGCGTAACTTCACCACATCATATGATATACACTTCATCTAATTTATATAACGATGCACGTCATCGGCGTCATAGCCTGTGGCGTCACATGATACCAACACAAAATATTTAGGGTGTAGGGTGTGTTCTTTTTTAGAATCACTTTACCGAGTACACTGACATTACAGCCACTAGACATATTTTATTATATACGCGTAGAAATCATATTCAAAAATTTCTATTAATGTTAACTTGAAGAAATACACAATAATATGTTTCATTTAATTTGTATAAATGCATTATAAAGCGTTTTTATCAAGAACATTTGTTCGGAACACACTGTAACTGTAATCGAACGAAGGTAAAATTTTGGCATAAATTGGTAACACTTATTTGACAGTTGTGGTGTTGACACTTTTTGTACTTCATTATTTTGAATTTTAAAGTGAATATCTCTTGTTTTATATTTTTAACTATTTAATAAAATCTGTTCTTTTTAGAACAAAATTAGTGTGTTTTATTTCAAAAATGTCACGTAAGAATTTAAATGGTCGTTGTAAAGAGATGGTAATACTTTTGCAATAATTATGTAATCTATTTGATTTAAAATGGAGTCAGGATTTTTTTATACTTTGGCAACTATGTCAACTTCGATCTCTGACGTAGATAATGACGTAAGTCGTTATCTAAATTAGATGAAGTATACCAGCTTATGACATTTTATTGCACAACTAGATGGTCGATATTTCTAAAATATTTAACAATGATATTGTGGGCAATTCCTCACTCAATTTTAAGACTAAAAGTTCCTATTAACATGAGCCATGAGATTGAGATGCAGGGTATTGCAATTTGTGTAATAATCTCGTTCTGAGTGTAACTAAACTATTGGTATATACAAAACAATTAAAAACTAAAAAAAATAACTTTTAATCTTACAACTTATAAATTAGAAATGGCCATAAATTCTTCTACGTATTTATTAATGAGTCATATCTATTCTGGTGTCATTTGTGTCAGTTTTAACTGACATAACAGGCCAATAATAAAAAACTTTTTTACTAAAAATAACTTATTCTTATTCTCTTTAGGGCACTGAATCCAAATATGATACTAAGCTATATCATCTACAGTTACCTAACATTTTGTAGTTAAATTTATTTAACCGATTTCACAAACTGAACAGTTTTTAATACGGTTAAAATATAATTAAAAAATTAGTGTAATGGATCTAGAATGACTTTGGTAGCATTGCTGACACTGATCTCACTTATCTGCTGACTGATTCTATTGACAGATATGTGTATAGTGAATTTGTGATTAAAAAATACCAGTGAAGAAGGTTTATCTATCATCCTTTGGAACTGAATTTGCTGTTCCTGTGATATGGAGCGAATCAAGAAATTATTCTTGCGATTGTTACTTTTGCAGTCTTGATATTACTGGTGATAACTCACAAAACAAGAAAATAAGAAGCTACCCTAACCTTCTCTCCGCAATACATTCTGATGCATCTTCTAATGTATAATCGGAGTTAAATGAACAAAATGATGAAGAATTTCCAAATGTAGCACCTACAGTGCGTTAAGTTTTGGATTAGGTATACACTCTATAAATGGCAACACTGCGCGTCGTCAACTTGTACTACATATCTGCTTCGTTGACTCGTCGTTGCACGTCGCCCGTCGGCAAATTTGTCATATTGTCATTATACCGTGGTTGTTTAAAGGTATAACAGCGTAGAGTTTTAATTTATTTTTGTAAACATGTCTGTTTATATGGCCGCGGAAAAAGCTCAAATAATAAAATGGTTTTATAGTGGCAATTCTGCGCAACAGTGTGTAGATTTATTTTCTGTGTTTTTTGAGGGAAGACCAATTCCTTGTGTACAGTCAATTTATAATATTGTTAAAAATTTTGAGAGTTGTTATTGCCTCAAAAATTGCAGAAAATGTCACGCTCGAGAAGTGTTACCAGAAAAAGTTGAGGAAAGAGAATACCGGGATACACAAATTTGTGCAACAATCGAGGTAGATTCAACACGTTCAAGTAGAAGCGTTGCTAGAGAGTTAGATGTTAGCAATGTTACTGTAACGAAAGTATTGAAAAAGCACGGTTACAAGAATTTTAAATATTCGAAAACGCAGCAGCTTTATCCAGACGATTACTTTCGAAGAATGGAGTTTTGTGAAACTCTAATAACGAAGGCTAATAGTGAACCAAATTTTATTAAAAACATTTTATTCACTGATGAATCTTCTGTTTCGTTAGTAGGGAGACACAATCCTTCCATTACGAGGTATTGGGCGCGGGAAAACCAGCACAGAAGTGTTGTTTACCGAACTCAACGTCCTCAAAAAGTTAACGTCTGGACTGGCATTTTAGGAGACCACATAATAGGTCCATTTTTTATTGAGGGCAACTTGAATAGTAGAGTATACCTCGATTTGTTACAGAATCATGTTCTTCCCGCTATTCTCAATCTTCCTGATGTAAATCTGGAGAATGTTTGGTTTCATCAAGACGGCTGTTCAGTTCACAACGCTCGAATTATTAGGGAGTATTTAAACAATACTTTCCCGAATCGAGTTATCAGTGGAACAGGCGATATTAAGTGGCCTGCGCGATCTCCAGATCTTACACCATGGACTTCTTTTTTTGGGGACATTTAAAAAGCATTATCTACGCTCATCCTGAGGCTAGAGCCCAAAATTTGGATGAATTAAAAAATCGAATAAGAGAAGTCTCCAATTCTGTTACAGCAGAAACTCTTTCATCTGTTCGCAGAAGTTTTTATGACAGATTGGGGTACTGTTCAGCCGTAGAAGGTCAACTATTTGAACCATTTCTGTAGGTCATAAAGAATTATTTTTTATTTTATTAGGAATAATATTTTAATTTTCAATAAGAGTATATTTTTTATTTTATCTTTTTAAAGAAATACGCTTTTATTTTTAATTCAACCACAAAAAAAATTTCACATTAATAAAAATCGATAACAATGCATCTAATCGATTAGGTCAGTGCATTTTTATCGAATTTCCTACTATTAAAATCGGCTTTACGTAATGAAACATGAAATCGGACGACAGAGAAGTACATCCCTAACTTGTTGTGAGTTATAAACTAAAATAAATGATTTTCTGTCGGTGTAGATTTTCGGGTCGGAGAACGAACATTTGCAACGTTGCTGATTTTAGCGCTCCGTATAGTGTGCAATACCTAATCAAAAACTTAACGCACTGTATGTTGTTTAATCAGATAGATTTTAACGACTTAGTTAAGAATCTTGACTTAACGAAATGAAAAGCTGAATTGCTTGGCTTTTATTATCATCGACTAGCCTATATTTGTCCACGGCTAAACGTAGTCTCCCGTAAAATTTTCCAGCGATTTCTATCGTGAGTTTCTTGAGCATAAAATTTGTGGTGATTCGCTTTGTATCATCTGTCCATCTAGTCGATGGTCGTCCTCTGTCTCGATATGCCGATTTTGTCTTGGTCGCCATTCAAGAATCTTTGTGGTCCAACTATCATCCGTCAATAAGGTAATATATTCGGCAAAAGCCCATTTAGCCATGGCTATTTTTTCAAGTGCATCCGTCACTCCTGTTCTTATTTCTAAGTTTGTCACTTTATCTTTAATGGTAATACCTAACATTGATCTTTCCATAACGTTTTGTGTAATTCTTATTTTATTTATTGTTCCTTTATCATAGTTAGTGTTTCTGCTACATATGTAAGGACCAGTAAAACACATTGGTTAAAAACCTTTCTTAAAAAAAAAACTGGAATATTAGACTTGAAAATAATGTTCAATCTCAGAGATCTATCCTGCTTTGTATTTCCTGATTATCTCGGCCTAAGCGAATCTCATGCCCTAGATATTTGAAAGCTGTTACTTGGTCGATGCTATAGCTTTCAATCTGAATAAAATTTTCTCGCTGACTACAAGAAGTTGATCATAAATTTGTCTTGAGTGTTAATTTAAGACCAATGTTTTTGATGCGTCATATAGCGTTTCAGCATTTCTGTAGCTTTATTAACTCTATCAGATATTATAACGATGTCATCAGCAAATCTTAGGTCGTTTATATCCTTTACATTTATATTAATTCCCTTATTATCCTCTTGTACCATTTGCTTGAACATATATTCGAGTACAGCTGTAAACAATTTCGGGGAGATAGTATCACCACAAGCTGTGCAAGTTTCGTAGATACTTTTAATCAAGGCAATATATCGATAGTCGATGCGGCAGTTAGCCAATGCTCGAAGCATTCTATGTTGATCTATAGTATCGAATGCCTTTTCAAAGTCTACGAATATAAGAAATAGAGGCTTGTTCTATTTTGTGCACTTTTCTATTAGCGTTTTAATAACTTGTAAATGATCATTTGTTCCGTATCTGAAGCGGAACCCAGCCTGTTTGTAAGGTTCGTAACTATCCATTTTATTTACAAGCTATTTTGTTATCTTCATAAATAGTTTGTATGTATGGGACAGCAAACTAATAGATCTTTAGGTCTTAAATGTCACCTTTTTTGTGCATTATGGAAGGGGATTACATTTCTTTTCATACAAACATTGAACATCTTTTTCAACGCAGTTATGAATGTTTCTTCCCTTTTTTATTTGTTCTATGACCATCCTATCTTCTCCAGGTGATTTATTGTTTTTCATCTCCGATTGAGCTCTTTTTTATTTCCTCTGTTGGGATGTCTTTTGAGCATTTTGGATTTTTGGTATTTGACTTTGATTAGGATCTGGTAGTTCTTCTCGTTTATACAGTTATGAGTAAAAATCTTAAATAATTTTTAAAATATCTTCCTTATTTGTTTTAGTTTCCTCCTTTTAGGAAACAAAAGTTATTTACAAGTTTGCAAATATTTTTCGATCCTTCAGTCATTTTTCGGCGCAGAACCTTTAAATTTTTATTTTTATTAATAGTTTGAGTTATGTGTGTAGTGTTGTAATTTTTGACATCTTTTCATTTTGAATTGATTTTGAATTGATTGATGTGATATCTTTGTTTTAACTGTCCTAAGTGTTAGAAAGTTATCTGCGTATTTATCTTTCAATTCTCTTCTTTTGTTTATAACATCTTTAGAAGCTTGGGTGAGTATATCCTCCTTGTTTTTCCTTTTTCCTTATATTTTCTATAAGCGTTTTTAAACGCAGTATTCATTAGCATGTCATATACAGTCTGTCCCAAACCCTTTTTTCAGTGCGTCACTAATTTTGACGTCATATAGGATTTAAAGAATGTCGAGAATTATTGCATGACATTTTAGTTAAATCTGACAGTTGCAGGATCGTAATCGGCTAAATGTGAAAAGGTTATTTTTTTTTAAATGCATAGCAGTTTGTCATAATTTTCTATTCTGTTCTATTTTATACATTCCAAGGAAAGTGCTTAATTAGCTTAGATTCGTTTATGGATTTATTATTATTTATTACAAACACACAGGCATATTGCAATGACAATTGCAATTGCAAGGCATCAAAGTAAACATTCCTGTGATAAAATAACATCGATTTAAATCAGTCATATTTGGATAAGTAATTTTCTGATAAGTTTCTGTGGCAGCCAATAGTTTAATTTTGTGAAGATTTGTCATTAAATAGTGGAAATAGTTTAAATAGTGAAGCAGTTGATTTTTGAGTTATTCTACCAGATTTGGTGTGCAAATGAAAGAAGGTTATAAAGTTTAGTTAAAAAAACAATATAAATAGTTTAAATAGTGAAGCAGTTGATTTTTGAGTTAATCTACCAGTTCCGGTATCCAGATGAAATCGTGTTAATGGAGTTTAGTTAAAAAACAAGATACCGAATGTAAGTTTACCTTCTTTTTTATGAATAACAAAAATGAATATTATATTTCAAACAATCCATAATCCCATTCAGAATCTGATTCTTTAAAATCAATGATTACACTAGATATGTGGCTGGTATCAATTATATCTTACATTTCAAGAAAATGTCGTGGTTCTAAAAAGAACAGTTTTAATACATATAAATATCCATAACGGTATTAGTTTAAGATATTTTCTCAATATCATTCCGGAATTCACAATCTGATTCGCGAACGACAGAAACTGATAATAAAGATAACTCAGCCTCTTTTTCTAATTGAAACTAATTTAATAATTTTAATATAATTAGTCTTTGTTCATTCTCGGTATATCTCGGAATATTTAAAATATTTTTATGACAATAAATACAAAATTTAATTTTCACTGTAGGTAAAATGTCTGAAAATACTAACCTGGAACGGCAATTATCATTTTATCAGTTGACATTGTGAAAGTACTGTCACTGTCATTATCAAGATCATCTGTGTCAAATTATATTTATATGCATAATTGATTGGATATCTATTTAGCGTATTCTAAACTCCAACCAATTATACGTTCGTAAGTAGAATTCGCTTTAATATGCGAATACCCGTGACCGATACCTAATTTTCTAAGTTCTATGTATAATAATCAGGAACTCACGTTTTTTTCTGTCACTTCTAGCTTAATGCGTTAGAGAGAATTCGAACAACTATGACGCACTGAAAGAAGGGTTTGGGACGGACTGTACTCTAGATCTTCGTAGTCCTGAGCCAAGACTATTTGGTATAGTGTGTACAATGCCGTGTCGTTTAGAGGAATCCCCATACCACTTCATTTCCTTTTCTACGTCTTCAGCGCTTGCTACCAGTAGATCTTAAACAAAGTCAGGGACAGACACCATCGCCACAGTTCTCGTACTGCGTTCATTAAAGTTACGTTGGTGTTTGTGTTTTCTAAAGCTTCCCATAGTTTTTATTGTGGTACACTGTCGTATGCTTTTTGAAGATCTACGTTTTGGGAGGTGTATCGTTGTTTTTTTTTTTCTATTAGTTGGATAATCGTAAAAGGATGGTCAATAGTCAATCTACCTGATCTGAAGCTCTTAATTTTGGGGAAACTCGAGATAGTGCCCAACACTGCTATTTCCTGGTAGTTGTCAAGTTGTCACATATATGTCTTTAGCTCCCTTTTTATTTATGGTTGATATAACCGATGTTTTCCGCTTTTCCGGTATATTCTCTTCATTTATATAATTTTGATACATGCTGGTTATCTGCCTGTTTAGCTTGTTGGTTCCGTAGTTTAGTAGTTCGGGATATTACATAGTATGATTATTTTCTGTTTTTTAACATTTGACATACTTGTTTTACTTCTCTACTGTCAATCCTACGTATTGTTTGTGGTGTTTGTAGATATTCTGTCCTTTCCACCGTCAGTAGTTTTTCAAAGTTTCCTCCCATTCACATAGGCTAATAGGGGATATGATATCTATTATTTTTCTTTTCGAAGATTTCCAGCTTAAGTGTTAATTCTGGAGCAGTTTTTCCCCCACTTGCCCAACGCTTTTTCTGCTACACCCTGTAAACATTCTTTTATATAGTTGTACTGGTTCTCTACACCTACACTATCAAAGTTTTCATCATTATCAAACTTTGATCTATTCTAACAAGATGAAAAGATTTGAAAAAGAAGATTTGATTATGTTCTAGTTTAGATTATAATTGTAAATATTATTAGTTGGAATTATATAGGATAATATTGTTAGATTTTTAATGAGGCTTAAATTATTTTTCTCATATCATCCTACTTTTATTTATTTTTGGTTCCATTCGATCACTGTACTAATTTGGTTAACATTAACATTTTTTTTTTAATTTTCACGCTTTTTAGTCAATGACACAATTACCCGCAAACCTAGCATTCCCCTCCCTTGATCCCCCACAATCATCACACAGTAGAGACCAAGTAGACTCTGAAAAACACCTCAAAGCAAGTGATGATCTCGAAGACTACGAATTTTCTGAAGAGGAATACGTGGAGGAGAAGCCTTCGAAAAAGGGCAAAGAGAAGAAGAAGTCATCGAAGACCAAGACAAATATCCCAACAAGAAAAAGCGCCAGAAAAAATAAGGAAGTTAAGACTGATGAGGATTTTCTGGAATTCAGTGACTGATTAATTTGATTTGTGTTTGTGCTTGTAAATTTTTATACCGTTTTAATATAACTTGTTTTACTTTTTTTATTCAATTGAATGAGGTACTTAGATTAGGTTTAGTGATACTATTTTAATAATCGGAAGACAGTTTTTTATAATATTATAAATGATAGTCAATACCAATATTAAGCAAATCTTCGTTAAATGGAGAGGATATCATTAGAAAAGAGAGGGAATATAATGTCGGCTGTAGCACAGTGGCTATGTTACTGGCTTAACAAGCTGGAGGTCCCAGGTTGGATTCTTGGCACTGACTTCTTCTTCACTGGCTTTACAACTCGGGTGAGTCTTCGCCGCATCCACTATCGCCCTTCATCCTCTACGATTTCCGGTTCTATTTACCATTGTTGTACCCCAATTCTAGATAAATCGGCTTCAACATCATCCTTCCATCTTTTTCTCGAACGGCTATTGATCTTTTACCATCTAGTCTTTCAAAAAACACTGTCTTTAACACTCTGTCATCCTCTGATCGTACTTGACCTGAATGTGTCTCGGCACCGACACATTTTTCTAATTTAATTGAGCCGCCACCGTGTTCGGATGACAAGTAAAGTCGTCGATACCGGCTACTTAAGTACTCATTAAGTTATGTTAGGGGCGCTTGTGCCACCTGAAAACCCGATCAGTAGTTCTTAGCAGCCAGGGGGTTACAAGTATTTTATTATTAGAATAGAGTTCAAACAAATGTTTACATTCAGTTACGTTCATTGGACTTAGATGCTTGTCCGATTTTTGGCCTATCTTTCTTGTATTGTAAATCCTATATTGCTTTTTCTCCACGTCAGGGTTTACGCTATAACATGTTTGCGGCTTCTAAATTTAAGTGTCTTTCCACCTTTGTTGAGTCTTCCTATATTTCGTCGGCCTTCCGGTTTTAAAAATTAAACTATTTTTTGGTGTTCTCTCAGGTGGCATTATCTCTTCCATTATCGTTTAGACTTTCTTATACTTTTTTTGTATAATTTGGACAATCAATAATATATACAGCTCAGCAGGCCCTAGAGGGCCATGTTTCCACTGTTTTTCTCCATTTTCTTCTGTCTATGGCCGCAATTCTTCATTTTGTTATCCCGATTGTTTTTAGGTCTACCTTCCCTTACAGGTCTCCGATCTCTTCATTTGTTCGTCTCCTCCAAATGTCTTCATACTCTTTACTCCCGCGAATATCTTTCTTTGTTCTCCATGTTTCGCTTCCATACATGACTGTGGGTTGGATCACTGTTCTGTATAGTCTCAATTTCTCTGGAGATGTTTTTTCCGCTTAATAGTTTGTGTAGAGTTCCGGCCGTCTTCCTCCCTCTCGAAATCCGCTTCTCAATTTCTTGGCTTTCTTCCCATTTACTTGTTAGGGTTACTCCTAGATACTCAAACTCTGTCACCTTTTTGACGCAATACTCTTTACTCTCGTTGTTAGTGTGGTACTCTTCAGTTGCGTGCCTTCATATGTGGTCTGTCCCATTTCCATATATTTTTTTTGCTCATTATTAATCAGTCCATACTGTTTAGCCTCTGTTTCAAAGAGTTTGAAAATCCGCATAAGTTCTCCTTCAGTTCTTGCGATTAACACCACATCGCCCGCAAAGACCAGGACCTGGATTCTGTTATCATAAATCATACCTTTTTTCCGTATTCCACTCTCTCTCATTATTGCCTCCAGCAAGAAATTGAAGAGTATTGTGACCAGAGAATCTCCCTGCTTTAACCCCTTCTTACTTCAAATTTTCCTGATAGGCTTCCTTCTATCCTTACTCTATTGTCGGTCTTCATAAAAGTCATTTTTACTAGTCTGATCATCTTTTCCTGAATTCAAAGTACTTTTAGGGCATGGTAAGACGCCTTCTATCACAGAATCGTAAGTTTGTTTGAAATATATAAAGAGGAGGTTTAGCTTTAACTGTTGCTCGTATTTGGACATTTAATTCATTTTTTATTCCACCTTGTTGGGCCATGTGTAAATCTTTAACCCTTCTTGGAAATTTCATTTCCGAAGCTTGAATTTTGGTTGTTGTATTTTTTGTGGTTGTTTAATTTTGACTTCCATACGTTAATACTGGCATGGGTATCGTTTTATAGAATTTTCTGTATCTTAATTTTATTTTACTGACTGATGTCTATTGTTCCACGAAAGATTTCAAATTTATAACCGAGCTATGATATGACTATATCTAGCGGTCCCTGAGGACAATTATTTTTTTTTGTATAAAGATAAGTATTTATCAAATCAATTTTATGTAACTAAAAACGATGTAACTATAAACTGGAATTTACATAAAAATTAACTCATACAGCTTACCCATACGTTTCTTTCCATTTTCCGTTCACCATTTAAAGAGTTTTCTGAATTATTAATACTCATCATCATACTCTCTCAATAACAAACATATGAAAATGAATTCGTCATCTTCTCCTTTAAAAATCATTACTATAGGCTTAATTATCCTTGCTATCACGTTGAAAGTCTTCATACTGGCGGATCTTAATATGTTTTGGTTCATACAGTGCGTTAAGCTTTTGATTAGGTATTGCACACTATACGGAGCGCTAAAATTGGCAACGTTGCAAATGTTCGTTCTCCGACCCGAAAATCTACACCGACAGAAAATCATTTATTTTAGTTTAGTAACTCACAACAACGTTAGGGATGTACTTCTCTGTCGTCCGATCTCATGTTTCATTACGTAAAGCCGATTTTAATAGTAGGAAATTCGATAAAAATGCACTGAACTAATCGGTGCATTGTTATCGATTTTTATTAATGTGAAAATTTTTTTGTGGTTGAATTAAAAATAAAAGCGTATTTCTTTAAAAAGATAAAATAAAAAATATACTCTTATTGAAAATTAAAATATTATTCCTAATAAAATAAAAAATAATTCTTTATGACCTACAGAAATGGTTCAAATAGTTGACCTTCTACGGCTGAACAGTACCCCAATCTGTCATAAAAACTTCTGCGAACAGATGAAAGAGTTTCTGCTGTAACAGAATTGGAGACTTCTCTTATTCGATTTTTTAATTCATCCAAATTTTGGGCTCTAGCCTCAGGATGAGCGTAGATAATGCTTTTTAAATGTCCCCAAAAAAGAAGTCCATGGGTGTAAGATCTGGAGATCGGCGCAGGCCACTTAATATCGCCTGTTCCACAGATAACTCGATTCGGGAAAGTATTGTTTAAATACTCCCTAATAATTCGAGCGTTGTGAACTGAACAGCCGTCTTGATGAAACCAAACATTCTCCAGATTTACATCAGGAAGATTGAGAATAGCGGGAAGAACATGATTCTGAACAAATCGAGGTATACTCTACTATTCAAGTTGCCCTCAATAAAAAATGGACCCATTATGTGGTCTCCTAAAATGCCAGTCCAGACGTTAACTTTTTGAGGACGTTGAGTTCGGTAAACAACACTTCTGTGCTGGTTTTCCCGCGCCCAATACCTCGTAATGGAAGGATTGTGTCTCCCTACTAACGAAACAGAAGATTCATCAGTGAATAAAATGTTTTTAATAAAATTTGGTTCACTATTAGCCTTCGTTATTAGAGTTTCACAAAACTCCATTCTTTGAAAGTAATCGTCTGGATAAAGCTGCTGCGTTTTCGAATATTTAAAATTCTTGTAACCGTGCTTTTTCCATACTTTCGTTACAGTAACATTGCTAACATCTAACTCTCTAGCAACGCTTCTACTTGAACGTGTTGAATCTACCTCGATTGTTGCACAAATTTGTGTATCCCGGTATTCTCTTTCCTCAACTTTTTCTGGTAACACTTCTCGAGCGTGACATTTTCTGCAATTTTTGAGGCAATAACAACTCTCAAAATTTTTAACAATATTATAAATTGACTGTACACCAGGAATTGGTCTTCCCTCAAAAAAAACAGAAAATAAATCTACACACTGTTGCGCAGAATTGCCACTATAAAACCATTTTATTATTTGAGCTTTTTCCGCGGCCATATAAACAGACATGTTTACAAAAATAAATTAAAAACTCTACGCTGTTATACCTTTAAACAACCACGGTATAATGACAATATGACAAATTTGCCGACCGGCGACGTGCAACGACGAGTCAACGAAGCAGATATGTAGTGCAAGTCGAAGACGCGCAGTGTTGCCATTTATAGAATGTATACCTAATCCAAAACTTAACGCACTGTATCTTAGTTTCGTCTAGTAAAATGTTTCTTCACTCCTATTTACAAGATCTTTTGATATGAAACATATAATTCGGCGGGTTAGACCGGCTGCTGCGGTTGCGCGCCGCATGCCAAGCACGCTCTTGTAACTCTAAGCGTGGCTTCATAACTAGGCGCCGACCCTCGCTCGGGCCATGGGATGGTATAATTTAATCGATTTTCGGTAAAATAAATGCATTACTTTAAATGCGAGCGTTGACCGTCAGTGCTATGCTCTAGGCGAGAATACGATGCCATGGTCTCCATTATGAACGCACCCTGATTCTTCCTGCCAAAACGCCTAGGCTAGACTCTCTCATCGCAGTATACCTTATACTGCTACCTACTCTTATACCTAACTTATAACAGTAATACCATTAGATATAGCATTGAATATTACCATCATCGAAGTAACTGATAAAACAGCTGACAATATTTTAAAAAAATTGAAGAAAGTTTAGAAAATATTGTGTTAATAATAATTATTGTACCATTGTACTGATATCGAAGACGTTATCGGCTTCATTGCAAGCATATCAGAAGTTTTTGGTTTCATTCAATAAGTCGTAAAGCAGAACGTATTAAAAGTTGTAAAAACTTTGACGAAAAGCCAACGATTTGATTGAGAGTAAGATTTCTATAATTGTGTCTCACAAAACAGGCTTTTGTTCCAGTAAAGAAACTAAAAAATCGTTGTCCTAGTTAAAAATTCGCCCCAGACATTGTGTGATAATTCGCACATATACTTCCTTGGACAATGATTTAC